ATTCTTGGAGAATCCAGCTGCTACATCTTGCTTTCTTCAGCTCAACTGCAACAAGAAGTTAATTTTTGAAACAATTTAAGATCTCTGTGCAGCTTCAGCTTCTCTGGTCAGCCTGGGCCTCACCAGCCTTATAGTAAAGAACTTCCTAATGAAACTGATGTGGCCTATTGTGTACAGGGGGGTTGTACAAGGGGGTTAGACAAAATGCACAGGGGGGGGGTTGTACAAGGGGGTTAGACAAAATGCACGGGGGGGGTTTGTACAAGGGGGTTAGACAAAATGTACGGGGGGGGTTTGTACAAGGGGGTTAGACAAAATGTACGGGGGGGTTTGTACAAGGGGGTTAGACAAAATCACCGGGGGGGCTGTACAAGGGGGTTAGACAAAATGTACGGGGGGGGTTGTACAAGGGGGTTAGACAAAATAGGGGGGGGGGTTGTACAAGGGGGTTAGACAAAATGTACGGGGGGGTTGTACAAGGGGGTTAGACAAAATGTACGGGGGGGTTGTACAAGGGGGTTAGACAAAATGTACGGGGGGGGTTGTACAAGGGGGTACTGCTTAAGTTACAGCTGGCTTGACAAGCTTAGCAGATGCCTTACCAGGCAGTACCAGGGCAGAACCTCCTAATGAGGAGAATAGAGGGGGGTTGTACAAGAGGATACTGCCTAAGTTATAGCTTGTTTGACAAGCTCAGCAGATGCCTTATCAGGCAGTACCAGGACAGAACTTCCTAATGAAGAGAATAGCTCATTAAACCAGTTGGACATAGACCAGGCCCCTCCAGCTCCTAAAGAGCATGCATGAGGACCAGAGGTAAAAAGTTCAAGCCTGAGGAAGACTCGTTTACTTCATCTTGAAGACCCCTACCCACAAGAGGAAGACTACTTACTTCATCTGAAGACCCCTGCCCAAGACCACCAGGAGGCACTGCACATGCGTGGAGAGCCTTTTAGCTCATTATAATACGAAGCAGGGATAGAACTAAAACATGTATAGGCATATTGTGCAACCTAATACATATGTATGACTTTACAAGATAAATGTAAAAGGAAAACGGCACTGGGGCACGCATGCCTTTTGGAGGACCAATCCCCTGTGTCTTCAGCTGAATAAAGCATACCTACTTTACAACTTTAATGAAGTTGTGGAGTCTATTCCGCTATCACCTAATGTCTAATTTAAATTTCCACTCTTTCAGTTTAAAACCATTCTCTGTTGTCCTCTCACTACATGCTCTTGTCAAAAGCACCTCACTACAGGCCCTTGTCCCAAGCCCCTCTCCAGGTTTCCTGCAGCCCCTTTAGGCACTGGAGCTGCTCTAAGGTCTCCCCTTCAGGAGCCTTCTCTTCTCCAGGCTGCCCCAGCCCAGCTCTCTCAGCCTGGCTCCATAGGCTGGAAGTGTTCCCAGCCAGGTCGGATGGGGGAGCTCCGCAGCCCCCGCCATTCCCACATCCAGCTGCAGCTTCTGCGCACGCTCTTCAACGGCCGCCAGAGCGCGGCGGGTATAAAGCGGAGCCGTTCGTGCCCAGCGGCACTCTTGCGTGTTCGTTGTGCTTGTTTGTGGCTTGTCTTCGCCTGTTCAACGTTGGCGCTGGTCGCCGCAGGGATCAGTGCGGTGAGTGCTGGGGAACATAACGGGTCGTGTTGGGGCGTTTCGTGAGGAGAAAATGGGGGTGAGGGCGCTGGGGTCCCGCGGGGTAATCCGGGCTGGGAAGGAGCCCCTCCCGCTTCTCCTGAGGCGCGGAGATGGGCCGGGCTCTCATGACTGACTAACAGCTGAGACGGGCTGGTTCATAGCACTGTGAAACTAAAAGGAAAATAAAGCATGGTTTTACGGTGTGGTGAATCCACCGGAGGTAGCGGTGTGAGCGCTGTGACTGCAGGGACGGCGCGGCCGCGGGGGCCTTGTTGCGCGGGGGGCTTGTTGCGCGGGGGGCTTGTTCGCGGGGGGCTTGTTGCGCGGGGGGCTTGTTGCGCGGGGGGCTTGTTGCGCGGGGGGCTTGTTGCGCGGGGGGCTTGTTGCGCGGGGGGCTTGTTGCGCGGGGGCTTGGTTCGCGGGGGGCTTGTTCGCGGGGGGGCTTGTTGCGCGGGGGGGCTTGTTGCGCGGGGGGCTTGTTGCGCGGGGGCTTGTTGCGCGGGGGCTTGTTGCGCGGGGGGCTTGTTGCGCGGGGGGCTTGTTGCGCGGGGGGCTTGTTGCGCGGGGGCTTGTTCGCGGGGGGCTTGTTGCGCGGGGGGCTTGTTGCGCGGGGGGCTTGTTGCGCGGGGGGCTTGTTGCGCGGGGGCTTGTTGCGCGGGGGCTTGTTGCGCGGGGGGCTTGTTGCGCGGGGGGCTTGTTGCGCGGGGGGCTTGTTGCGCGGGGGGCTTGTTGCGCGGGGGGCTTGTTCGCGGGGGGCTTGTTGCGCGGGGGGCTTGTTGCGCGGGGGGCTTGTTGCGCGGGGGCTTGTTGCGCGGGGGGCTTGTTGCGCGGGGGGCTTGTTGCGCGGGGGGCTTGTTGCGCGGGGGGCTTGTTGCGCGGGGGGCTTGTTGCGCGGGGGGCTTGTTGCGGCTCCAGTGCCTAAAGGGGCTGCAGGAAACCTGGAGAGGGGCTTTGGACAAGGGCCTGTAGGGACAGGCCAAGGGGAATGGCTTGAACCTGCCCGAGGGGAGACTGAGATGAGCTCTGAGGCAGAAGCTCTTCCCTGTGAGGGTGCTGAGGCGCTGGCACAGGGTGCCCAGAGAAGCTGTGGCTGCCCCATCCCTGGCAGTGCTCAAGGCCAGGTTGGACACAGGGGCTTGGAGCAAGCTGCTCCAGTGGAAGGGGTCCCTGCCTGTGGCAGGGGTTGGAACTGGGTGAGCTTTAAAGTCCCTTGCAGTCAAAATCATTCTGTTTTTCTATAATGCTACTTTTTGTGCTTCCATTCTCTGCTTTAGCAAGAAAGAGCATGTTGGCGTTTTTTACTTTGTGGTGATGTTTGTTGTCTTCTATTTTGGTGGGTTGTTTTGTTTGTTTAATTACTTACAAAACCTTCAACAAACACAGCCTCTTATATATTGATCACCTACCTCATGATGTATCCCAGAGAGGGATTTATATGTCTACTCCATATAAACTAGTAATTCCTGTTTATTGCAGTAAGTTTCCAACTCCTTTAGTAGTGAGCTCTTTATTACATTAAAGACTTAATTCAGTTTCATGAGGAATTTATGGTATTATGCTGTGTTTATCTCCAGAGTTCAGGGAAATTGCTTTGTTTTTGTCTAACAACAGTCACTTTGTGCTTCCTCTGCTGCCTTGGGCATTACAGAATCATAGAATAGTTAGGGTTGGAAAGGACCTTAAGATCATCAAGTTCCACTCCCCTGCCATGGGCAGGGACACCTCACTCTAAATCATATCACCCAAGGCCTTGTCCAACCTGGCCTTGAACACTGCCAGGGATGGAGCATTCACAACCTCCTTGGGCAACCTATTCCAGTGCCTCACCACCCTAACAGGAAATAATTTCCTCCTTATGAGGAGGCCATCCAGCCAGTTCTTTATCCACCGAGTGGTCCACCTATCAAACTGGTCCACCTATCAAACTGGTGTCATAAAATAAAAGGTAATTACTACATTTACTGCTTTGTTTAGGTTCCTTTTGCTGCTTTGGCAGATCAGGGTCCTCTTTAAAAAGCTGCTTGCACGCCTAGTGTTTGCAATTCTCTCTGAAATTACTGCATTCTTTGTTTCCCTTCAGAGTGATGGCAGAGGGTTGTACTTTTTTATGCTTTGAGACATTATTCTCAGATCTGGACATCTTGTATGAAGAATTGAGAAAGACTTCGTCTTTGAGAGAGCTTCTTCGATTAGCATTTGCAGGTAAAAGGAACTTAAGTGTGGGTTTTGGTTTGCACCTCCTTGCAGAAAATGGGAATGCTGTAATTATACACAGGAAACATGACATGAAGTGGAAATTGAGTAAAATAAAGTTACAAAAAAGTGAACAAGGACAGTGAAATTGGAAAATTATCATGGGTCCCAGGCAGAGAATGTAGGCTAAATGAAAGTATCTTATGCTGTGGGACTTGAAGACCAGTGGTTAAGGTACCCTGTGTTTTACATAATCTGTGGGGAAAGACCCAGACAGGAGAAAAAAAACTATCTTGGTGGGTATGTTAAGTGAGTGTGTTAAGCCTAATCATGAAACTGTGCAAAGGCACTGATGGATATTTATACAGGTGTTTTATCTTAGCATTCCAGGAGTGCCTGGCTGTGATGAAGACCCACAGTGCTTAAATAACAAGCTTATTTAATCTGACATATTAAAATAGATCTGAATGTTTTATATTGATCTCTTATCCTTTCCTAGGCACAAATAGAGATTACACAGGATCATAGAAATGTTTGTTGGGAGGGTCATCTGGTCACCCAGGCTAACCTCCTGTTTGCAGAGAACTATATCCCTAAGCAGAGGGAGATCATGACGGAGAGCATGGTGCTGAAGCTGAGTGCTTGTGAAAGCCAGACTATTTAAAACCTGTGTCGTCCACCTGTAACCTGTAGCAGTAGTGGGTAAAGCTTAGTGCTTTCTGGCCTCATGCTGGAGAGAAGCCTTTATTCTCACAGCAGCTTTGAACTGTTGGCCCTATGGTTGACAGTTTGACGAGCAAATATTGCTGCTTCTCCTGGGAAGATACTGGTGTTTGGGGAGCATAGAGTTAGATAATTGCTGCATGTGGAGGGGAAGGAAATGGGATTTTCATTTTGTGTTGGAGATGGTTTGGCTTAATGTTCTTTCTTTTTTGGCAGGTCAAGAACCATCTGTTAAGTGTGTGGTCTCTAAAATAAGAGAGCAGATAGTAGTCTTGCATGGTCTCCTGAATAAAATAGAATCTGATTGTCGAGGAAATATTAAAAAGACAACATTGCTAAAAGTAATCTTTTTTTCTTTTTTAATCCTATTCATAAACCACTGGAAGATTCAAAGGGATGTTTGATAAGCGTGTAGTTGTTCTTTTCGAGATCCTCAGTGCTTACAGAAGAAGATGGGGCTTGTACTGGGTTTGCTAATGGTTTATTAAGCAGCTCTCCAGCACAGTGAAAACTAAACATTTTATTTATCAAGGTTTATACATTGAAAGCACATTTTTATCCTAACAGATACATGAGCTAAACAGCAGTTCTATTTTTGCATCCTTGCTATAGCTACAAAAACTATTTAATTAGAGTATTTACGTGTTGTTCCTATAAGTGTTTGCAGTGCTTTCATGTGTTAAGTCTTTCTGAAAGTCTTGTTTGGGGAATGTAGATGAGTTGCCTGTACTATGTGTTGATAGCCCTCACCATTCCCCTGCACAGACTTACTAAAGTATATGATAAAGACTTTTCTTGCCTAACAGTTATTTGCTGCTTTGAGGGCAAGGACAGACATTCTTAGATTTATTTATGAGTTCTACAAGTTGCTTTTGGGAAAGTGCGGGGTGAAGAAGTGAGATGATGAGGGGAGAGAAAAGAACACCTGTTGCCAAGTTAAAAATTACTTTAGCAATACCCTAATAGTAAACTAATTTTATGTGCTTGACATTAATACTTCAAGATTTCTGATGAAGTCTTAATATTAATTTTAGGAGCTCCAAGACACCACGGAGAAGGAACAGAAAGAAGCACAGCGCTTTCTGGAAGCGTTTTCTACTCGTTCTTCTGTGTTGTGGAACTGGTACGAGATACATAAGTATAGAGGGTTTGGGCTCCTCCTGGCATTCATTTTCCTGTATATTAACTGTGAACTGGGAGATGAGGTGGTTGTATGTATTGATTCTAAAGTTTGCTCCTGACTGTGCACCGTCAAGCTTGTGCTAGAACCCAATAAAGTCAGTCCCTTAGGTAAAACCTATAAAACACCAGTCATCTTCCCTACCAAGAAGGACACTGGGTTTGAGGGTGTTGCTTTGAGCAACACATGAAATCTCAGCCATCATGTCAACAGATGGGGCAATACTGTGCCCTTCAGTGACTGTAGGGCCCTTTCAAAGAAAGATCTCTTCTTGTGAGGTTAGATTGAAGTACAGAATCAGTTATTTGTGATAGATCAGCTTGGTACTGCTTTAAGTTACTTATGTTGCACATCTCAGCCCAGTAATGTCCTTGTGTTCAGATGGATTAGGCTAAATGCATCCTCTTTGCCGTCCTCATACAAGTGAGTAGGAGAGCAGCTGGGTGTGTGACTGGCGAATAATTTGGTGTTTGAGGCTCGAAGCTGAGGGCTTCAAGGAAGAGTAATTTTATGAAAATAATTCTCTCATAATCACTCAAAGCAAGACATTCCTCAGGTTTTGGGAGCTTGTCTAAGGAACAGAAATTCATATATAAACAACCCTAGCCTGCTGCATGGGGTTGGATTCCTTTGCTTTATAACCTTAATGGGTGAGTCAGGATTCCCAGGATTTGAAGTTGTTTCAAAGAGCTGTGAAGTGTTTGAGATCTGCCTGTTAGGCTGCAGCTCTGTGCTGTGGTTCATGTGATGAAAAGAGAGGCCTCATGTTCTGTGTGAAATATAATGGTATCTTGAATTCCAAACTGCTCTGTGCTGTGTTTGGACTGCTTCTAATTCATAAAATCATTGAATCATAGAATAGTTTGGGTTGGAAAGGACCTTAAGGTAATCTAGTTCCAACCCCCGTGCCGTGGGCATGGATAGCAGCCTCTCTAGCAGAGAAGTAAAGAGCTATCCTGAAGTCAGCTGAAGAATGCAGCTTACAATGGAGTAAGCATGCTTTATTAATTCTTTCAGAAGAGATTCTGAATTGTCTTCCTTCACGCAGATGGTTTGGAGCTTAGGCCTGTGAGTGAGCAGACTTGATACTGTAATGGTATTCTCCTTATACTTACCTGCAGTTTATACACTTAATATTTATTCATTTTACAGTAATTTGCGGAAAACCCTGAAAAGTGATAAAATGCAACTAAGAATAGAAACAAAACCGACAGAGGCATCTGGAGCTAGCGATATGCCCGCAGTAGAAAAAAAAGATGTTCAACAAGTTCCTTCGTGAGTATTCATGGCTTTTCTTACCACTGTCAAGCCAGTCTGGTGGCAAGGGCAGGATTGGGAGAATGAGCTCTTGCAGATCTGAGACTGACAGAGCCGCTTTAAAGTTGTAGATGTTCCACAGGGTGGAACATCGTGATGTCAGCTCCAGATAGCTTATGTGCAACACTGGAAAACCCGGAAGTGAAAATAATGGAGGTGTTTATGTTCATTTCTGATGTGTATGTTGGGAAGATGAGAAATCATCACTTAAACCCCAAGCCGCTCATCTCTGAAGTCGCTTTGAGTTTATGAAATATCATAGCTGATGTATGTATAGATGGGTTCTCCTTGTGTTCTGCGTAGAAGCAGAAATAAAAAGAGCCATCACCTTGTAAGAGGAAAGGTACGGTTATGCTTAAAAGGAAAACTAATAATAAGTGCTGGTTTTATTCAACCTAACAGTTGGTTTCTGACAGCGTTCAGGTCTTGACTTACCGATCTGCTCTGGGACAAGAAGTAAATCAGACTTGTTAAAAGCAACAAAGACCACCAGTGAAAGATCCAA